GACAAGACATGACCCAGAGTATACAGGACCACTGCTTGGTAGGCAGCGCTCCAAGTTAACCCCTGTGTTGGTGCATCGTATGATTGGAGGGCTACTCATAAGCTTTGGGAGACTTTCTCTCTAAGATTGTAAATTTTTATTAGTGTAATTTGACTCTTGCTACAGGGACTAGAAGAAGCAGAAGAACAGCTTCAGAAGGAGAAGGCAGAGTTGAATGGCCTGCAAATGTACCAGTCCAGAGTTGAGCCAAATCCAATGCAGGGAGAGGAGGAAGGAGAGGAGGAGAGAATATTTCAGTTGTGGCAGGACTGCAGGATGACGTCCATCCTCCAGGAGGCACTCTACAAGTGTGAATCGGCCGTCACACTGCTGGCTGAAAGGTGAGCTGTCATGTCAGTGTTATCTCTGGAGTAATGAGGAATTTTGTTGAAGGTCATGGGCCGTAAAATTTTACAGTGTTTACGCTCTCTGGTGTTTTCAGGTGGCAAGAAATGACTGCCAACAATCAAGCCATGGAATATTTAAAAGAGCAAATGGGACTCAAGAGACTTTATGCAAACTGTGACCAGGTCTGAATACTTTTTCCAACGTTATATTTAGCAAAAGCCTATTAAGGGAATGGAAAAACACAGGGACATCCTAACTTCTGTGTGCCAGTGGAAGTAGAGAAAAGCTGTACTTAAGGTGGCTGTGTGTCCTGCTCTTCATCGCAGGATCTGGAGTTTGCATCTGGGCTGGTGAAGCAGAGTCAGTTGTCTGTCGAGGTTCTCCTGGAGGCCCTGCGTCTTCTCCTCCCCACCCTGCCTGAAAGTGAACTCCTTTCCATCACTGACGCCCTCTGCCCCAAACAGCACTCGGTTTCATCATCTGCAGAGCAGGAACACTCAGGGTAAGAACCAGGTTCAAGATCTGTTTACTGGCAAACACTCTTCTTGAGGTTACAATCTAACACTTTTCCATTTATTCTCTTGGATCAGGCTTTGCTGAAAATAAAGGCACGACTGGTTTCATACTGACCAGGTCACTGTTATCATTTTACTGTCATGAAACTCAGTGCCTATTAGAGTATTGACTGTTTTGTGTTATGATATTATATATTATAGAATCAGTCCGTTATTACTCATGCATTAATGTAATTAGTGTCAAGATTCTGTTATAGTTGGTTGAGGTGGAGCTGGAACTACTTAGTAGGTGGTCACATCAGGTATTAATGGATTCCCAGCAGCCAATCAGAATCGAGTATTCAGCCAGACCATGAGATAAGTAAGGGAAAATGCCCCTCGAGGTGTCCATTATTATTATTATTATTATTATTATTATTATTATTATTATTAGTAGTAGTAATGGAAGACGTCTCTTGCCAAAGGAAGAAAAAAGATAATTATTTTATATGTATATAGTGTTTTTCAATCCAAATCAAAAGTTTTTTACAAGCTATAACTTCCCAGGTAACACCTGAGGTCCTTCCTAATACATGGAAAAATCATTGCCATCCTATAAGGTTCTAATGCATTGGAAATGTTGTTCACTACTCCAGTAAATAGGATGGACGGTAGATACGACTTGGCAACGGGAGATGTTTCTAGTTCCCATCGCTCACAGAGTGCTTTGGCTCCAGTAACCCTTACTCAGTTACATCCCACCACTGTATTTGGACTACGACAGAATATCACAATTAGTATCAACACATTTCTCTTCTACTGAAATTGGAGCAAATTGTCTCTCTCTTTCATCAAATTCCCCATCATCATGCAAAATCTGTCTGGCTCTTTCAACCTGCAAACAAGCTTTTGAGTTTAGCGACCAACAAATGTGCAGAGGCCAACAAAGGCTTTTGTCATGCATCAGTCTTCTAGTTAATCTTGTTTTCTTTTCCCCCTTTTTAAAGGGGAAAAAAAAAATGTAAGAACTTGATTACAGTGAAAACCTTTTAGTCCAAAGTGTGCAGCCAGAGTCTCAACTATTCAAGGGTTCTGTGGTTTTAGAAAGTAGTTTTCTGAGTGAAGTCACTGATTAAATAAAAGCAGCGTTTAAACACAGCAGCTGGCTAACACAAACCCATCTCCAAGCATTGTCTTCAATCTGAACAACAGATACTGTTTGAACACGGTTCCACAAGGGTCCTTTTCCCCGAGCCAAGATGGAGAGATAAATGATTTTACTCATCATTTAATTTCCTTCTCTTCCTGATACACTGGAGCACTCTGGCTCCCGCAGAGTTTGGATTATTTTGCTGATGAATAATGTCTCATGCATGAGGCCTCTTTGGATCTGGGCTGTCTGGCCAAAGGACAAAGGAATTAAAGTGCTCGGTTTGGAACAATATGCAAAACATGTGTTTTTCTTTTCTTTTTCAGCTCTTTTGTTTCGGCTTTTTGTTTTTGGAAAGGAGTTTATCCGTTCCTTTAAACAGTTTTACAGTAAATCTTACCAATGTAAAGTCAAGTAAACAGTAGCATGTTTCAAATATGTAGCTAACATTTAATTAAAGAAAAAGAATTTGAGAGCCAGCCAAGGTTAATTGACTGGATTGTTGATACATCACATATTTTAATGTTGAAACACAAAATAAAACAAAAACTAAAGTTGAAGAGGACATAAAATTGACCTCTTGCGTACCTCGATCAAACAGCCATGTTTGAGAAAATGGTCTATGTAAGTTAGCATTTAAGTTAACATATACAACTAAACATTCAGACCAAATGTCCGGCATATCTCCCTTGCTCTGGGCAAACATTAAACACTTCTAATATATCAAGTTATAGTTATCTCAAGAAAAGGCTCTTTTTGCATCCGTTAGTTTACAGTATGTTTCCTCCCATTTTGATTATTTATTCTGCTCTGTTTAAAATTTCCAGGTAAGTGTGGTCAGAGTTAGTGCTTTTAGCATCTGTTCCATGTGTAGTCAATCACCAGTAATCTGTGAAATACCCTGAATGCAATGAAATAACATCTGTTAGCTCCACTGACAAAAATGTATTTTTCCACCCTGCTTTTGTGAACATTCATTCAGGTAACAGACACTGTACTTTATGTGTGAACGACGCACATGACTTACTGTTTCTGTTTAAAACGGGAAGAAAAAAACCCATGTGATATTTTTGCTGTTGGAATTATCCGTATTTATTTATTCATTTCTTTGACAGGCCTAACATGCTGTACCCTACTAAGAAAGAGATTAAATATTTAATCTCTTATACTTTCATTGAAAAGATCACAAAGCTCCCCCTCTAAACTAATGAAAAGTTATGAAAGCGTGTCAGATAGCCAGCAATCCTTGACCATTTTTTAATCAAAGCCAAAGCAGAGATTGTATCACAGTGACCAGCTTTATAACATATTGATGACTTTTTGACCAGGTGTGCCGGAGAGTTGAACAGACTTCTTCCTGTCAAACTGAGAGAAGACGTGGTACATAAAAATATGCTAAATATGCCGAGCTGCACTGTGGAAAGAGAGAGGTGAGTGCTACTCTACTAGCTGCTATATTAAGACTTGATGTTACACCACCATCAAGGCTAATTTGCAGGTCAGCGGCCGTCAACATCATAGACAAATCCTTTATTGATGTGTAATATGGCTTTCATCAGTTACATGGCTTGGCTGCAGTGGCCACTTGCATGTGGTAAGCACTTTAACGCTCCAGTCCCGCTAACAACAGCTCCTTTGTCCTCCAGATTTCACAGACTCCAGGAAAGGAGGAAAAGTCTGATGGAAAAACTGCTCCCTAGATCCCGTCTCCCGGTTCCAAGAGATGTTGCACCACTATTGGTCGAAGAGAAAGGAAAGGAAGACAGTTTTACTAAAGCACAGCAGCCAGTTTATAAACCAACCATGACTGAAAGCACAGTCACACAGCAGCACAGTGACACTGCAAAAGAAAGGGCTGCGGACACAGTGAATGAATCGTTACACAGCAGAGCAGAGGAACACAGGATGCCTGCCTCTGCCAGCACTGCAGCAGGCGTCCCCGCCACTGGAGGCCGGTTGTTTGTGTTTCGAGATCCACCTGAGTCATGTGACCGTGTGGATGCTCCTAAAAGAAAAAGGAAAAAGAACTTCCTCAATCTGAAGAAAGGCTCTGTGGCTCCAACAAACCTACCTTAAGACTTACCTTGTTTTTTGCAAGGGTTTTTTTTTTATGATTATGGTACTTTATTATGATGCATGATAAAACTAAAATTCAGAATAAACAAATAGTTTTACTATGCAGCAAAAATGTGCTTTTTCAAAATGTATGTAGCATCTGGCTTTGTTTGTAAGTAAAGGCAGCTGACTTGTTTCCACAGTTGTTTCCTTGCTTCACATTGTTCACAGGGAATATATTTTGCAAGATCATACAAAGGTGGTTGACAAACACTTCAAACATTATTTCCAATGGTCTTGTCTTGAATGGGAATCTTTTAAATGGGAAAAGGCCACTAAAGAACAGATTTACTGAAAAGGTTACAGTTTAAAGATGAGTTTTAGGGAAGAGAACAGCTAAGGGTCTCTTGCTGTTGTATGAGTGTGTCCTCCTAAACAATAGTGTCAATCACTTTTATTATTCATGTCCAGATATTGGGCGAGTTACTGTGTTTTTGTGGTTTGATTTGAGGATTGTATACCTCCCGACACACTCAAGACACACAGCTTCATTAAATGTTGAAACTTTCATGCGCAGCAGTTTAAATTCCTTCAGTAAAACGAACATTTTTATGTTCCTGGAAACTCTTGGTTCCCCCTTGATCTTGTTTTTTTTATATATATAGTTGTTGACTCCAATTTGTTATTAATAGCTGCCATTAATATCCTCTTTTTAGCAATTGCCAAGTCACAAAATTGTGTGGCCAAAAAAAAAAAGTTGCAAAACGTTTTGGCCGTGTTATCAGCAGGAGAAGCTCAATCATCTCTGGTATTTTGAAGCTTGCATGAACAGATTTGCTCTCCAAAACACAGCAGACCCCAAATGTTTCCCTCAACCTCGCTGCGCTTCCACGTCATCGTCCATCATTTCCCCCCCTCTCTCAGTAACCCAAATCCTTAAAACCGCTGCAAGTCCTCCTCGTTACTATTTGAAACAGCGTTGAGTGAGCAGCTGGAAGCCGTCCTGAGCAGCGTTATATATCCGACATGAGGCTGGGACTCGCCGCTCTGCTGTGTTTCTTCAGCTTCGTGTGGCCGTCGGACTGCGCGCCTCCGACCTGCTACTCCAGAGCGGTCGGCCTGAGCAAAGAAGTCATGGCTCTGCTGGAGAAAATACACACATACCCTCGCACGGTGAGCGCTTTGGCGTCTGTTTCGTGGTCCCGTTCTGCAGACAAGGCTGTGTTAAGCATTTCTGACTGATGCTCTGTTTTGTGTGGTCTAATGATGATGGTGTTTGTCGGGTTGCAGAAAACGTGCGCTGAGGTCCTACCTGTGATCTTCATTGATGTGCATGTAAGTCTCAAACAATGGGGTACAATGTGGGGTGCTGAAAGTGATTATGTGGGGTTATTTGATTTTTTTTATTTTTATTTTTCACACTTACAGCTTTTCCCCCACTGATAAACCATTGTTGGTAATTCCAGTTTGATATTCAGAGCTAAGAGAGTTCATTTTTAAGTCCACTTTCTCCTATGTCCATTCACTAACCTCTTAAAGTCTCTTATTAGCTTTAAATTTGGATGCACTGCACATTTTCTTTTCCAGAAGAAGCAGGGCTGTGTGAAAATAAAGATTTGTTTCAAGTGAATAGTTGCTGTCAAGAGTTATAATGGATTATTATAGTTTTTTTTTTTTTAACTAGAATTGTGAATGTGTCAAATATAATGTCTCATTCCCCAACAGTAACACAACTAAACAGTGTAATCTATGAGGTCTCTGGTGAAAGTGACAGCTCTGTGAGCTCACAGCAGCCTCATATAACACAGGCAAAATTTGATGAAGAGCAACAGCACAGAGTAACTTTTACTCTGGTTTCACTCAAATCAAAACATGCCACTGTTCCTGTCTGAGCTCATGGGGATGAAGGGTCAACACCAAGCATCATAACCGATTAATATTACAGGCAACTAATTAGTGAACTCAGTATTTTCCATGAAGAAGAATGGGACACAGCCAAATATTATGCACAAAAAAGCATGCAGTGAGGGGTTACAGCCAAGTGTAACAGGCCATTTTGTTCATAACAAGCAGGGTTTGGTAAGCGAGAGAGACCAAGTGGTCCAACACGTTAGCAGAATAAGCCCAGTTAGATAAGAGCTGTTACTTTCACTCTGCCTGATGCTTAGTTCAATGGAAAATCAGTCAAACCAGTGCATGTACTGAGTTCTCTGTGACAAAATCTTACCTGAGTTAATGAGAATATTTGAATACCCTCGATTCAGAAAAGTGTCAAATCAGATGAGTTAACTTGTCCTGCAGGGGCTTACAGTCTGTAAATACTGTCATGTAAAAGCAAAGTTTTATCTTTCTAGAACTCGTGCATCACAACCAAGCTCCGTGACTTTCTCTACGTGGTGCTTAACCATCCTAACCCGTCCTGCAGAGAGCGTCCCAGAATGGTGCTGCTGAAACGTAAAATCCAGAACTTGTACTCCATCATCACCAGAATTTGTTATCGGGTAAGAACATCAAAAAACATCAACACTATTTCTCATGTCAAGAATCCTGTTTTCAGACTTGAGAGGCGTGACCACTTGTATACATGTCTATGTTTGGTTCGCAGGACATGGTGTTTTTCATAGATGACTGTGAGGCTATTGATACTGGCCACAGTAGCCCTTACTTTGCAGAGGACAGGCTTCAGCTACTGCAAGAGGAGAGATGAGCAACACACAGAGCAGATGATGGACGTTCATTGGTGTCTTACATTCATAAAAACACATCAGCAATATGTAGAACGGTGAAGCATGCAGTATACACACCACAGCTTGCACTGCATTAGATGCATCGTAAGCAACACACACAGTGCTGTTTCATGTCGTACCTAGTTGGCTCTGTGTTAGCTGCAGACTCATGTTAGTGGACATTTGTGGCTACATTCCAGCCAGGAGTGTAGAACTTTCCACAGGAAATTTGCTGAATGCCAACCATGCCGAAGAAAACCTTGAAATAATAAACCAATAAGAGTTGCTTGTGAACCGGGCTTAACCGCTGCTTACTTACTAGGGCTGATCAAAGCTTTGTGTGTCATTAAGAGAAATATGTTGTGTTGCCATAACCCTTGGTCTCACTGACACGTCTTAAAGGAGCACTGTACAGCATTTTGTAAAACATGGTGGTTAAGAAATGTTATGTAACTAATAGATGTACTAAGTGTTGCTTCCTCCTGTACTGAATATGAAAATAATAGAGCCATCCCTGTCATAGACATATTAGAAACATGCCTGTTTTTATGTATACTTAATGACAATCTATATATGTCTCACACAATGTAATAAAACTTTATGTATCAATTTGTTCTATGAAGTCATTTCCAAAATGTCTGCCACTTGATTCTGGAAAGTACTACACAAATTACTGAGACCAGACGGGCTCATGTCCAGTCTGTGAATCAGCATGATGTCCTTTTCCTGAATTTTCTAGAATGAGTGAGGTTATTTTCACTCTCACACTATTTTTCACTCAGCATGTGACAATTACTGATTATTTTTATTTTATAGAAACAGTATGGTGGGTTTTGTTTTTCATGTTTGTCACTGCTGTAATATAATAGAGCTGTATTTTAAACAAGTGTTGTTTGGGTCAAATTACAAAAGCATTATCTCTGCTGGTGTCTTGAAGATGAAAGTGTGATTGACGAGATTAAGTGTAGCAATGTGTCTTACACAAACCACACTCCCCATTCTCTTATATACAAATTATATCAAATATTAATTCATAATTTTATTTTACTGTTGGAACTCTCTGGACAAGTAATAGTGCAGTTGCCATTATTTTGAGAACAGTGGTATGACTTGTTGGATTTGGGAAGAAGGCTGCCTCTCTGATTTAATTTATGGCCTCTGCTGCCCACTGTTGGCCAGATTCTATCATGTGCATGTATAAAGGTGGTTTCTCAGTGTTTACAGACGCATTCAGAGTATTTTGTGATTTGGGGGCATTTAGACCTTAAATATGTAACAAACGTCCTCCTTTTTCTACAATTTTTGTCTGTGTGCAACGGGGAAAGTATTTCTAACTCACGATATCATTAATCAATGTTTTGAATATATTTGGTTACATGAAGTCAGGCTGTGTGAGTTAAGTGGTACAGTTCACTTAACTAAAATAAGCTAGAGCGGATTTGGCCCCCACAGTTTAAGGCCCCAGGATCTATCACAGTAAACTTTGAGCCACTTTCCTTTTGGTCAATGGAGGCCTACGTTATTGTGGAGTGGAAATGCTCTGGGTTGTTGTTGGTCCACTGAAACACTCTCCAACATGAGACAGCAATAAACTTACTGAAAGAAACTAAATTGCACTGCACTCTCAGAACTTCACCAATAGGAGTTTTCAAAATGACACCCATTTCCATCTGCATGACCTCACCTGTCTTCACAAGCTTTTACCCCCATAAATCACACATTGACTGCCTATTTGCTAAAGCATTTGTCCCCCAGGGAGCCACAGTTTCTTTTGTTGCTATGCTGTTTTTTGTTTTGTTTGGTTTGGTTTTTGTTGCTTGATCCTGGTGCTGCCAACGTTTTTCTGGATCACAGAAATACCTTCACTGGGGAAACAAGATGCTTCACGTCCTATTGAGTTTGCAAATGGCTTTATTTGTGGCATAGACGGCTCGTATCTGTTAGGCCTTACAGTCTGCTACATTACATGATGACATCCGTGCAGGAAAGCTGAATAACTGCTGGGCGTGAGTCAGGTCAGGACCATCAGGATCCTCAGGAGGCTGATTGAGAGGCAGAGGGGCCATACAATGATCATCAGAGGCAGTCTGACGGTACCTTGATCTGTCACAAGGTGGCGCTGGTTGTCATAGTTCCATATTGCCACATCAGATGAGGATGGTTTAACACAAGGTTATGCTGCTGACCATATAAAGGTCCAGTGTTTGAACCCCCCCCTCTCTCTGTGTGTGTATGTGTGTATTTCTGTTTCCCTTCCAGTAATTATTAACACATTCTAGATTTTGATGTATAGATTTGATGTAACAGAGATGCAGTACTCTGTGAAAACAGAGCAAAATCTGCAACCATTATGTTGAAAAGGTTGAAACTATTTCCTGGTGTAACACAGAAATGTTTCAGTAAGAGATCAAAAGCAAGGACACAGAGATTCACAAGATTTTAAAAGTAGTGATAATACTGCAGAATTGTAATCAGTAGGCTTATTGATTAAGGGAGGTTTACCCATTAATCTAATCTAATAGCACAATGTTGTATTGTTGTAATATCCCAATGCAGAATAATGTCACAGCATGCAGCTGTCATCTGATCATTCTGTTAAATATTGAGCTAAAGACTAAAACCTCACAAAACTCATCAGTCCTGGGCACTAGATTTATTTAATCTACAACACATGTTAATCATTTTATAATCATTTAACAGCTTGCAGTTTAATTTGAGCTTGCCCCATGTGGCAATAAGCATGTTTTAGTCTCTTTTTTTTGCGCCAGGAATCAAGTCCTTGCACTTCTGAACCATCAGGTCTGCTAATTAACTAACCCTGCAAAAACGAAAATGTTAGTCAGCAGCATGTGGCTCGTTAAGGAATCGGCCCACGGTGCAGTTATAAAGCTTAATTGCTGTGCTTGTTGATCATCATTAGAGAGCCGCAGAATCCACGTTATTTTCTATCATTACGGCAGAACGAGAACAGAACATTTAAACCGCAGGCGGCCAGCTTATTTAACAATTTTAATGTTCTGTGACACTGCACCAAAAATGCTAAAAGCTGCACAATAAAAAAAAAAAACTTGTGACAGTAATCATTCTCTGCATTGTTGAAATAAATTACCTTGTAAAGGACAGATCAGAAACCTATTTACATTAGAGCAAAGTGATGCAGTTTGTGATTCAGTTCGGTTTATGGGGTTTTCAGGCAATTTTCCATCACATTTAGCACATTTATTGCATCTTAAAAGAAATGTTGCCTCATTAGTCGACATAAGAAAATGTTTCCCCCTTAATTTCCAATAGATGATTGGCACACTCTCTCCACACTATTGTAATGACGCTGGGTGGAGGTGTGTTATAGAGTTCAGTGAGATTCAAAACTCTCACATATTAGACCAAAGCTTCCCCTCCTGTGAACAGTAAATGTACCTTATAAACGCACAGTTGTTCCACTGATTTACATGTTGAAGTAATTATTCATTGAAGGGTCACCGGAGGACTTTCTGTCGATAAGGACTGTTCAGCCAGCTACAGACAGCTAGTAACGGTGGCAAACAGCTCATGGGGTTGCTCTGTTGTGTCCCAGTGGTTCAAAACTGCAGTTTACAGGTGACCGTGAACTGGTCATGAACGAGGGTCAAACAAAAAGCTTTAAAGGCAAGAAGGTCAAGACACCAGCGCCCTCTAGTGGACACTGCAGATCATATATGCACAACATGAAGAGGTTTCTAACATTAATTCTTCATTAATGAATCCGATATCTGCTTGCAGGCAACAGGTTTGTTAAGAAGTCAAGCTGATAAACAGATCAGGCTCAAAAAGTAACGTAATAAATGATAACTTAGCCTATATATTTGCAATGTGTATTAGGCCTATTTAATGTGTTATTATTATATTTATCCTATATTATAAGAGCATGTAGGCCTGCTGGGTAAACGAAGTTAAAGTCCAACTCAATAATGTGTTTATATCTTTGCTTTAATGCTGACTTTCACTGTGTGTCTGTCTCAAATCTGACTTCATGTTAAACTTATTGCATTTCATTTTTTGTGTGTCGTTGCTCTGATATTTCTGTGCATTCCCTATATGAGAACATCTGGTTTAGTGCAGGAGACTGATTTTATAGGTCCTTTTGTGTATAGGCAGCCGCAAGAAATTGGTGATGATGGCTGTGTTTGCTGGTAACTGAACATTGATTTATAGCATCCCCGCATTATTATTATTAACAGTATTTACAGCATGTAGCTCTGACTGACTGAAGAACCCCGTATTGTAAGTTAATATGGTCGGACATAGTTAAATTAGACTATTAGTTGGAGCCTGTTTAAATGTTGAATGGAATTGTTATAAATTGTCCTGCCTCCCGAACTCTTTTATTTTAACCGAGTTCTTCTCTCATATCAGGACTAAAAGTCTGAGTCGCCCTGCGATTATGAGACATATTTATACCCAGCAGACAACAATATAAAGATTTCTAATTGTTATAATATGTAATGAAGGTGAAAGGTCTTTCCCAACATAGCCTGAATTATTTTTTTTCCATGAATTTTTTAATGAATATTATCGCTGAGGTTTATTCACTGTAAAGGTTAAAAAAAGGCCACAGCCAACAAGTAGCTAGGCCTTCTGCAATGGTTATAAAGCATATATAATGTGGTTGTAATGTAGATTAATTTCGGTGTTGCGCGTGGATCAAGGTGTAAAGATTATTATAGTGGGGTCGTTTTTAGTTTAGTGAAGTTGTTGTTGTTGTTGTTGACATTTAAACTTTTTTAGTCGGAACGAAAGAGCCTTTTTATGTTACTCCTTGTGAACAGAAGGTGGTAGTGTGGCATCTGGAAGAAACAGAAAGTAACTTGTATATTTCATGGATTTTTATTTGATATTATTTTTTAAGGTCAAATTCTTCCCGCATTTCAAACGCTTCAAATGGATGTATGCAGTGTTTTGTACATGGGTAGCCCTTTAAACGTCCGTTTAATTAAACTGCAAATATATATAACATGATATTTGAAGTAAAATTATAAAACCGTATTAACCTTTGGAACAGCCAGGCCAGAGTGTATATAATATATAATATATTACAATAAATGTGCACACACTGATCAGCGCCAGCGCTTATCAGGCTAAATGTATGCTTTCACATATTTCCAATAGCAGCTTCCTTAAAGTAACTGAAGTCAGATCATTGTATTTAAAATAATTGCTATTTGGTTTAGAAGAATGCTCCATTAATGACCAGATACCATTCAGGTTAAATAGTGTATTTGTTGGTAAATAAAACCGTATGCAGACTATCTCCGCAGAGATAGTCATTATAGAAGCAACCAGCAGTTTTAACAGAAATAAATACATTTAGGCCTGAATATATGTTGCAATGAAAGCGTCTGCAATTTTGGTGTGTGTCCATCCTAAAACAAACACACACACACTCTTGATACTATTATTAAGGAATAAACACTGATAAGCTACAGTAGTGGCGATTTGTTTGACGAACAATCTTAATAATCTTAATTCAGTTTATAAAAACTCATATAAGCTCTCTATTACACGTCTTGGGAAACAAACTGAATAAAGGTTAAAGGTCTATTAAACATCCACTGACCCCTCTGCTTTAATAATCGTCTCTCCGAGCTGTAAAGGCCACTTCTAATAACCCATTTTCCTTTCTTTGGGGGGATCAAGGGGGTTTAAGTACAGAGTCAAACAGCCGCCTGTGATCTTTTGGATGATATAAACTAGTGAGTTTTGTTTTCTCTTTGGCTCCTGGCAAGATAGAGAGCCCGTGACAAAAGAATGAAAGAGTTGAAAGAGTGGACGGATCCCCTTTGGTTCTTTTGTGTCAAGTTTCTCTTCCCTTCAGACAGAGCGTTCATCCGTGTGATTTAAAGTTATTGTCAGGGATTGTATTAATTCATGCCTCGTGGATAAAATGGAGCGGGGACTGTCATAAATGATACATGGGCAAAACCCACCTTGAATTAAATGCAAAATTACTTTTATACAAAAGAAGAAGAAAAAAAGAGGCATTGATATTATAAAAGTGAGTGGGGGGTTATAAACTTGAAAAATGTTGTGTCTGAATAAATCACACTAACCCTGGTTCAGGACAGCAGCTTGTCAGCGCTGAGGAGGAAATCACAGCGCAGAGAGAAGTGTTGCCCGTCCCAGTCCCCCGTTGACATTTTAGGAATGATAAAAGTTCCGCCTTGCCTGGAGCTACAGCCTCTCTGGAGCCGGCCTCCGTCTGCGGCAGATTGCCTTTGCTCATTACAGCAATTATTTTACTCCAATTTAACCCCTGCCTGAATAGCAGAGAACTCAAGTGAAAGCCTTTTAAAACTGCCTCGGAGTGGCCTGTAATTCCCCCTTTCTGATCCCTGTTTTGTCATTTTAAGACTCCCTGATGGCAGAAAATGGCTCCAGCGCGCATCAGAAGGGTGAACTATGTGCTTTATGTGCTCCTGTCAGGTAATATGTTTCTATGTGGAAGGGGCACATGGGTTCTAAACACCCTGTCTTCTTCATAATGGGGGTGTCATCTGGCTCATTTTACACCCTAAACACTCAATAATGACACTCTAGAGGGGTTGTTTACACGCAATTTAGCCCGAAGAACCAATCTCCAATATTTATCGGTGTGTTTTGAAGTCCCCCCCCCCAAAAAAAAAAAACCCAACCTCTCTAACCACTCTTCTGGCGCCAACAAAATCTAGGTTAGTTATTTCAAAGCAATAGGCAACAGCTGTAGCAATACATTCCAGCACAATAACATGTGACAAGTTTAAATTCACAGTGTACCTAAATGTTGAGAAAAGTGCGCAGGGGCACAGACAGTGTGGAAAGTTTGACTGCGAATACGAGAAATGGAAGAAATGTGGATTGTCAGTATTGTTGTGGTGTGGGTCACAGAAAGCCTTAAGCCCTATCAGTGACACTGCACAAATCATAATATTTAAATCGTGCTGTCATCAAGCTCATCCCTGTTCCTATTTTCTATTTTTCTAACAAGGTGTAACAGGCCCCCCCCCCCCCATATAAACTTGTGTATCTTAAAATGTTTAAGATGTCCAAAAGTTACAACCCTCACAACTAAACATCCTAAAATAGATGTAAATAATTGTTAAAATATCCTATAATATAATAATAATAATAATAAAGTCTTTTCCCCCAAGCACTGCTTTGTAATTGCTTTTGTAATATTCAGATCTTGGTGTTACAGGCACCATGGAAGTGTCAGTCAAAACGAACAATCGCTTAATGAAAAAGAATAAACAATTTATTGTTAAGTTATGTCACAAATATATTCATAATATAAATGAGGATATTCTTCAAATATACATTATTTTACAGTACACATATCCCTTCCGAAGGGAATCATTCCAACAACAGACAGTGCTGTTATAAAAACAAATGCTGTGGTTCTCCAAATTCACAAAGAGCATTTATTGACACTGGATTCAGTAACCCACTAAAGTTACGCATTGATATGAATGCAAAAAAGGAAAAGGTACGGGGTTTTTTTTTGCAGTGTGACAGCAGTCCACAGATGCGATGGAAGTTTGTTGCTGCAAAATGTCATGCTGCAGTCTCTGACCTACTCACAGGAGCTGGTATAATAGCCGTGGCTGTAAGCAGCCATGAAGGTAGAGGAGTGGGCTATCTATGACACTCTGGCACAGCCAAGTGTCCATACTTGTCTGCCCAGTCGTGATACATCACAGGCCTACAGCGACTTATTTGTTTTCCACCTCTGCACCGCAAAAATGTCCACCTTAAAGTCATTTAGTTTCTCACTCAGGTTGTTTTTCTGAATTCGGATTTCTAGTAAAAAAAAAAAAAGGTTCTTGAGTGACGTTAGTTCAAAATCCACTGACAAAAAAAAACAGATTTAAGACTCATGATGAAATGACTAATAAAGTCGGATTATTTTTGCAGTGTGTGAACTTACTGGCGAGGCCAAGAGAAGTGGATAAACTTCAAGGTCCTCAGAAGGGAGGGTCTCTGTTTGGAGGTCTTTGCCCTCTGACATGTTGTGACACTGACCTCACCGCCATGATACCTCTTTATTTAGTACAGTGTCACCTCGCCTGTCCGAAGGCCCCCCCTCTCGCACGGGCCCCTCAGAAAGTAGTCTTAACCCCCTTGTGTCTTTCTGTGCGTGCCCCTCGTCCTCCGTCCCTGTCAAGCGAGGTGGTACATACTGTATCCGACGTGAGCGGCGTACAGTCCCATTGGGGAAACCGGCAGTGAGTGCCTCTGGAACGGGTGCGACCCTGCGTAGGACGCGGGGACGTGCGCACCGAGAGGAAAGGAAATCCCGAAAGCTGGAGGCAGCATAGGCTTAGCTGCCATTTTCAGTTTTTCAAGTTCTGCCTCCTGCAGCCGCTTGGCTTTGGCTCTCCTGTTCTGAAACCAGATTTTGACCTGGGTCTCCGTCAAGTTGAGGGAACTGGAGAACTCTGCGCGCTCGGCGATGGAAAGGTACTGCTTCTGGCGGAACTTCCTCTCCAGAGCCAGCAGCTGGGACGTCGTAAAGGGGGTCCGGGGCTTTCTGTTTGTCTTGTGTTTTCGCAGTGGACAGGCAGGAGGACTCAACCTTCCTGTGAGAGGACAAAACGCTTACATTTAAACGATCTGACTGAGGTGTGCAAAATGCGCAAATCCACACAAGATAAATAAATCGAGTAAGGGTTCTCATGGAAAACACGCCGAGTGTGGAAGACACACGAGTCTACACATATATATAAGACTAAGAACATAAGAAATGACAGATATTTTACTCAGATATTATGTATTCCTATAATCTAGGCTTTGCAATGAGACCAAACTTACGTGGAGGTGTGGGAGAAAAACGAGGACTCTGTATCCATGAAGTCCTGTCTTTACTGTCCGGGCTCTCGGGTTTAATCAACACGTCTTCTGGCATGTTCATGATGTCGCCCACTGAAAACGAGGAGCTCATGGCTAAAGCAGGAACCGAAGTATCCAGACTACCGAAAGCACCCATCCTTGAGCCCTTTCCCAGCGCCTGGGACGTCCCGGGAACGGACGTGGCATCCGGGGATGCCACCTCTCTGCTGGGTTTCCTATCAGCCATCAGCGCCTCAACACTGAAGGGCAAAATAGCAACTTTGGGCTTCCCAGTGTCCTCTGCGGGGCTCAGACTGGTCTGCATGTCGCCTCTGCTGACGAGAACCGAGCGGGGAGGAAGGTCTTCGGTTTTCAAACCAGCGGTCAAAGCTGACATGGCGATCGATGGGGCCATACAGGTCCGACTGGCACGGGTGAGGTGACTAGTCGACTCTCGTGGGTATAGTGGAAAGAGTTACACAAAGTTACTGTGGTGCGCCCTAAGGTGACGGTATCCTCATGTTTATGTGACCAAATTGGAGTGCAGGGCTATAATAAGGCAGGCGTGGAGAGAGAGCCGGCCAATCAGGGGCGAGATGGGCTGGTCCCTGCGAGACTCAAAAAAAAAAAAAAAAAAAAAGGAAAGAAAAAATCAGAGTGGGAAAGTTAACAATAGTTACTTTAAAAAAAAAAAAACAACAACCCATTTTAGATCAACATAAACACAACAAACTCTTAATGGGCCATGGTTTCATCAAGACTAAATCCCACACAATGATGTTTTACCAGACAGTAACCCTACAGCCGCCCTGCAGGGGACATATTGACAGCTTACAGCTATACAGGCGTTATCCCCATTAATACACACCATGTTTACACCAACATTGATAACCTTTCTGCCTCAAACACTTTGACATGCTTTATTCAGATCGACCCACTTTGGCCAAAGTGCTCGAACTCCTGAAGTGAACATTGCACAACAGTTTACTGCCCCCCGCCCCCCCCTTTATGTGATGAACCTCTTGCAGCGCGCTGTTTATTGATGGCTGCGGGGCTCTAATCAGATTGAAACACACAGGCCTTCGCAGTCATTTAGGGGTAATTATCGGGGCTTGGGGGAGGGATCACTGGGATTTTTTCCCCTTTGACTACATCCATTAAAGTCAAAAATTATGTGCAGTCGGGGGGGGTGAGGGAGGGAGGGAGGGAGGCAGCGTGGAGCCAAGGAGAGATTTAACCCAGGACTGTCATTGATTTACCTGGCTATACCTTTGTGTACCTTCTCATTATCTGAGGACCATAAAAAGAGGGATTGTTTTATTGTTACTCGAGAAAATATGTCACTGGATCTATATGCGATGGGAAAAGAACACAAGCGCGCATAAAGTTTGATCTCCTATCAAATAAATGTCGCTGCTTTAAACGTTGGATTTAAAGTAAACCTGTAGGAGTACAAACGTGGACAGATCACACTTTTTCTTGCTGGGTAGTCAGTTCTCAGGAAAAGCGTCTGCGTCGCTAATTACCAAGCATAAACAATCTGTCACGATTTGTCAGTCTCCCTAATGGGCAGACAAGTTATGTTGTTTTTAGGCGCCAGCAGCGCCCGGATCAAAGCGCTCGACTTTAGGGAGACTATTGAAAAAGTTGAATCCGCACCGAGAGCGCAGCACCGCCTCCTCCTCTACCCGCCCTAGCCCAGGGACACTGAGCCATTCAGCCTGAAACATTTGCCTTTTCTCAGCCGGATCGCACGCCAGTCCCCGTCTATTCAAATGAGCGCTATAGTCGGGTGTTAATAGTAGGCTCCTCAGAAGAAAAGGTCAGCGCCCACTGGCTGCTCTCAGAGCGCCTTACTGAAAAGGATTCCTCGGTGCGAGTGTTTCCCAAGATACACATTAGACCGCGGATCCCTGTCTGAGGAGGTGTGTGTTGTTATGACTTTTGTGTGCGGCGGTGTTAAATACAGTGGGGATTGCGGGACCTCAAACCAATCATCCTCATAATCTATCTGTCACCGTGCCATCGCTTCAGCAAAAAAAAAAAAAAAAAGTGGGGGGAATTAAAAGGCCCCGCTCCAGGAACCAGTGCCTGGGAACGTTTGTTGTGGTGTAGTCTTGAAAAAGTAAAATGACTTCCTTCACTTGAACATTGCAATTAACATTCAAGGTGACTTGGCAGGGACCTGTTTTGCATGCGTGAGCCATAAAGATGTCACGATAAGGTAAATAATTTGCCACTCTTTGAGGCTGTTCATTGCGAATTAAAGAACTATTCCACGAGAATCAAATAAAAGAAATGAGGCTCGGAATGTGAATTGCCTTTTAGAATTAAAAATAATAAATCAATCGGCCTTTTCTTGCACAACAGCTATCCTATAGTGATGTCCGGCTGACGCATTCACATTTAAATCGCAGCCACAGGTGTTCCCTGGTTGTTGTCTTGCATAACTTGGTTCCAGTCGGTTTATAAAAATAAAAAAAACTTAACAAACAAGTCTTAATTTATCATTTCCTCAGCAACACATCCTGTGTGTGTGTGTGTGTGTGTGTGTGTGTGTGTGTGTGTGTGTGCAGGTAGCAGTCTCCACGTGCAGCTGCGGCGTGTTTGGAAACACTTAAAGCCTCCAACCTGGAACGAGTGGCATTGCTCCGAAAGCTTTGAAGTCACCGGAGTCTCCGGGGCTCCCACGTCCGTCTGAAGTCCCCTCAGCTTGGGGCTCAAACACTTAACCCGTCCTCCGGCAACCCCAGCTCGTTAAACGAGTCTGCGTAAACACAAATAGGCGCACATGAGACGCATTAACGTGCGCTGTTTTTTTGGTGAGGTGTTGCAACAAGGCACAGCCTGCAAAGAAACTCAGACTCCTCTAGAAACTCATAAATCAAGATGGATGCTGCAGGTCTGTGATTTTAGTTTATTATTCTAGTTTATTTATTATTTATTGTTGGACCCCAGTGTTTTCAGGTTTGACCGTAGCCTATATAGGTTAAGTGTAAGTCAGCTAGAAAAATGGCAAAATACTTGATGAAATAAAGAGTAAACTAATTATTGGTGTCTTCTTCACACACACCACCACACACTTCTCTCAGTAGTTGATTATCTCGGCCCATTTCCTCACTTCATTTTAATGGACATCTGTTTAACCTGATTGTGGACTTTGGTTGTCGCAGTGTCCTTGTCTCCAGTGTATTTGTCTAGTGAACAGAGGGGACAGTGGTGCTGGAAAACAATGTTGCTGGCAATTAGCATCCCAAACACCGCTCTTTAAAAAAAGACTGATGTGCCATGGAGAAGACGATTACCATACCGTTTTATTTAAATCCCGAGGCAACAAATGAGGGCTGAGCTGAGATACAAAACAACTGTAAGGCTCATCGGGCCTTTATTTCACTTTATAAACTACTTTGATTCCCAGTCAGGAGGCAGGGACTCCAGACAAAGGCCCATTGTTGCCTCATCTGAAAGTTGTCTTAACCCTTTTCATGCAAGGTCTGTCAATTTAGACTGTAAAGACATAAAAGAGAGAGTCGATGTCAAAAGGCATTTTCAGGCAAAATATTTGCACTTGGTGCAAGTAAATGACTTTCGTCTGGGGACAATGACATCGCTCATGTGAGTATAACTCCTTTATCTTGGTCACATTTTAGATTTAGAGTGGGATTTTTTGGCCTGCTCAAACTTTTGGGGCCTACTGTGTGATGAAGTTAACTCAATTAGTGACATTTGTGAGGAATCCTTTAATGTTTTGTGAAATAATCTGAGCAACATTTTCTGTGTGTGTGTGTGATTTAAGTTAATTTGAAAGCGACTTTATGATGCACCTCAGAGACAGATGAAAGAAAACAGCCGGCAGTCCAACCCAAAGTCTCCATAATTATACATAATGTATCCTATTTCAAAGCAATTAGCGCAATCGGGCGGATCGGAGCACTTTGCTGCCAGTTAGTAACAATGCCTCACGGTCATTTAAGCTTCAACATGTCATTCACACTCTGGCCTCACAGGTCCGCCTGCAGACTACAGTGGCTCAGTCAGTTTTGGCAGGTGTATGTGGGTCCAGAAGTTATCGCCTCGTTTTTCTGGAGCCACTTTATGTGTCGTTAATTCAAACCACAGGAAACAATTGTTGTAATTATTACAAATTAACACTTGAATTTGAAATACTGTGGCCTACAATACATAGCAGAATATTAGGATTTTCATTTGCATTGGGAATTAAATATGGGCTGATATTATAATAAAAGAAAATGAGTTTTCCAGATTAGAATCATTCATTATAACAGCTATAATAACGTCATACCCAAATATTATAATGTAGTTAATATTAAGTTAACGTGAAAATAAATAAAAAAAGATAATAATGCACCAAATGCATATTCAGTAGCACCATTCAACACGCAGTTTTATTTACAGCTTGAGATGTTTCAGGGAGAATCAGCTGAACCTGAAGCAGCTCTCTGTGTAAAGTCACCGAGGTTCGCAGAACAGCAGGAAAACAGCAGCTCGGAGAGAAATGGACTCCAAATGTGGAGGCAGGCAGGATGACGATGATAAATTGCATTGGAAGTTTCGCCGATTAAACGACTGCGTGCGGCTTGGAGAGAGAGAGAGAGAGAGAGAGAGAGAGAGAGAGAGAGAAGAAGAAGAAGAAGAAGAAGAAGAAGAAGAAGAAGAAGAAGACGAAATAGATGTTTTTTTTAAACTGTAATTATTAGCTCTCTAAGTGAATCAGATCCACCGCTTTAGTGAACTTTATTCCCCATTCATCTCCCTCACCTTTCCCCCGGCTGACAGGCAGGATGAATGTGTCCCACGGTGATGATAAAAAGCCTCTTGCGGTTCAGGAAGGGGGAAAAAAGCGTTGTCGCCATCATAACGGGGGGCCATATTGTTTGAGGAGACTCTCTAAATAGAAATATTTGCCTGGCATCGTCTCAAAATCGCCCCGGAAATGATGCATGATGATTTGAGGTTGTCTGCTTCAAAATATCTGCACCCCGGCACTTTTTATTTTTTTAACCTCTAAATATTATGCGGATGATCCTAGAAAACCGGAAATGTTAACGTCCTATTTTCTCTCCTTAGGATGCAGAGAGGGAGTTTTGGTGGATACGTACATTTTTAAGGCTTATCAATGGGCTGTTAAACTGTCCCCGTGCTCGGCTCTGATTGGCTGTTAAACCCGCAGCAGCACTTCAGCTCACACCTGTGACCGCATAACTGCTTGTTTAAATATTAATGCGCTAATTGAAAACCACTACCGTAACTCCAGTGTCACTGAGCTTGTTCAACAGCTGAAGTGCTTGTCGGAGGAATATCATTCGAGGTAATTAACTAGATAAATAACTGTAGAACAAATGCATTGAATAAATGTGGCACAGTAATCATTTCACTCAACTCTTAATTGTTCTAAAATCAGTGGGTTATTAGCCTTATTTTGTTCTTTAAGCGTTTTCAATCTGCATCCATAAAGCAAGATATCTTATTTTATCAAAAAAAGCACATGAAACTTTCCCAATCTTATTTCCGGTTA